ATTCCTCTTGCTCTGTGCCCCCATACCCTCCCAGCCCCCCGCCCTGACTCAGACACCCTCTTATTCCTCTTGCTCTGTGCCCCCATACCCTCCCAGCCCCCCGCCCTGACTCAGACACCCTCTTATTCCTCTTGCTCTGTGCCCCCATACCCTCCCAGCCCCCCGCCCTGACTCAGACACCCTCTTATTCCTCTTGCTCTGTGCCCCCATACCCTCCCAGCCCCCCGCCCTGACTCAGACACCCTCTTATTCCTCTTGCTCTGTGCCCCCATACCCTCCCAGCCCCCCGCCCTGACTCAGACACCCTCTTATTCCTCTTGCTCTGTGCCCCCATACCCTCCCAGCCCCCCGCCCTGACTCAGACACCCTCTTATTCCTCTTGCTCTGTGCCCCCATACCCTCCCAGCCCCCCGCCCTGGCTCCCCTCACTGCAACCCTCTGTCCTGAGCTCCTCCTCATACCCCCAACCCTGACTCCTGAGCCCCTTGCATGCTCCATGTCTCCAGCCCCCTGCCTTAACTCCTGCACCCCCCTACCCTCTGCCCTGAACCCTCCACACTCTACCCAACACTTAAATATCTTATAGGTACTGTTGTATCACAACCCTTCCCCGCCCTAAGGCCCCCCCCAGGGGGCAAGTTGTGATAGCACAGTACCTGTAAGAAATGTAAGTTACTTTCACCCCTCCTAAACCGGTGCCTATATCAGCATAGGAACAACTCCAAGGACAGTGGAACTTTGTGGGTGCATCTCCTCCTTCTGAGCTGAGGCCCCTTTAAATACAAGCCAGGATCTGAGCCAATGCTAACGCACGAGTCAGGCCTGTGGATTGCTGCACAAAGGGGCAGCTGTTACGGTCTCAAAGATGCACACTTACTCCCTAGGGAAGCAGGGTTACTGATGATTATGGGGGTGCCGCAGACTTTCCTGACTATTCCAGTGCAGAAGTGATGACCACGAGGGACTGGTATTAATATATCAGCCAGTGGCATTCAGCAGCTCAGTAACTGGCTGCCTTGCAGAGTCATGGGACAAGGTGTTGTCTTCTGAGCACGGTGTCATTAGGTGCGATGCAGGCTCTTGGGAGTGGAGTCTTTGGCAACTAGTGTCACTGGGTACGGTAGGTTTGGAGACACCTGGCCCAGATCCACTGACATATTTACGCTCCTAATTTCCACTGTCTGGCTGAGACAACCCCAGAGCCTGTCCCTTCCCCAGAGAACCTAGTTACTGTCATGGGGAACAGTGGAACCTTGATTTCTTTTGTCAAAGAAACCACAAAAATGCAGGCTAGCTGAATCAGATTGGGGTGGGAGTCGGCGGAGCCATGGAGATCCAGGGCAGGGAATGTGGCAATGATTGGCAGAGGCCCAGCGCCAGAACGGCAAGTCAGAATTGAGGATCATTGGCAGATCAATGAGCTGCACTGTCAGACAGACATACAGTGCCTACCTTTTCTCAGCGTCCCACATGCCGGCCTCTTCTGAGGCCAGTACATACAGAAACCAAAACCATCAAGAGGTGGAATAAATGAAACCAGGAAGAAGCTAAAAGCTGGGAGCCCTGTCACTGCTGAGCGTAGTGACAGGAAGTGCTGATGCCAGTGAGTGTGTGTGTGGTGGGTAGGAGGGGTGCGATGGCTGTAATTCATCAGGCAAATTCTACACAGCATAAAGCCACCCTCCCCTCCCCTGCCATTCTAACCATGACCCCTCTTCCACGGGAGCAGCCAGGGCTCCAAGGACTCCATTGTTTATTTCATTAGATCCAACTTCCCTCTCTAACCCGATTAGACGGAAGTCTATAAACTCCTGGCTGGCGGGGGAAGGGCGCAGAGCCAAGCGACTGGAAGCGAAGGCAGGGAAAATCACATTACAACGATGAATTAGCATCTGGCTCAGGCCCTGGCTCTCTCCACCAAGATGGAACCACACGTTTCCCTTGCAAAGTGAACGACACATTTGTGAACCACACGTTTCCCTTGCAAAGTGAACCACACGTTTGTGAACCACACGTTTCCCTTGTAAAGCCCGCTATTCTGGGACAGCCGTAGGGGAGTTGACAACCAGAGCTGGATGGGGAGGGTTTGGAGACACATTGTGAAGCTGCCCTGTTGTGACCTGATACAAGCTCACTGTAGATTGTAACAAGGCTTCTCTTGACTCCATTGGGCTCTGGATCAGACTCAGAGGGGCAAGTTCATTTGAATAAGGCTTGGCCTTTTTGGGGCACCCTCTTTCAATGGTATTATTCCCCAGTCGCTGGATGGCAAGGCGAGAAGGCCTGAAGATGTGAGTTAGCTTGTCTGAGGGCATACGGCAATTGAGAGCAGAGCCTGGTATGCTAGCTCCTGTTCCCTCCTGTCCTCTCCAGAACCCACTCCTCCCAGTGTGTCTCTGGAGAAAATCAGGGCACAAAACAGGTAAAGCCAGTGGACACAGAGGAAAGGAAACCTGATTTTGCTCCTTCAGTCTTCTCAAAGGCCTCCCATGAGGGAGGGAGGATGGTGCAGTGGTTATAGTGCTCGGCTAGGCCTCCAGAAACCCTTAGTTCCCTGCTGGGCTACATTCTTCCTGTGTGGACTTGGGAAAATTATTTTTGTGCTTCAGTTCCCCAGCTGTACAATGGGGATTAGCACCTGCCTCCGTGGGTGGTTGGTGCAGCAGGGACTTGGAGAGGCAGGCCCTCAACCCCACCTACAGCCCCATCCCTACCGCCCACCATGGGAAGGGGAGGAAGTGGGGCAGAATGCTGAACATGCGCTCCCACAGGGGAGGAGACGGGGCAGTGTGCCAAGTATGTCCCAGTCTCCCCAGAGCACCAGGGAGGGGCAGAGAGGTGAGGGGACTGTGTGCACAGTGCAGCCCCCAGAGTACCAGGGAGGAGAAACGGTGGGGCAACTTGCCAACTGCTCTGAGGGGTGGGGATTGTGTGCACCGTGCAGCCCCCGGAGTACCAGGGAAGAGAGATGGTGGGGCAGCATGCCAACTCCTCCCCAGCCACCCCACAGCACCAAGGAGGGACAGAGAAGCGGGGCAGCATGCCGAGTGCTCCCCAGTCTCCCCAGAGCACCAGGGAGGGGCACAGAAGTGGGGCAGTGCACCAAGTGCTCCCCAGCCTTTCCAGAGCACCAGGGAGGGGCAGAAAGGCGAGGGGACTGTGTGTACATCACAGCCCCTGGATTGCCAGGGAGGAGAGATAGTGGGGCAACATGCCAACTGCTCCCCAGCCTCCCCACAGCACCAAGGAGGGACAGAGAAGCGGGGCAGCATGCCGAGTGCTCCCCAGTCTCCCCAGAGCATCAGGGAGGGGTAGAGAGGCGAGGGGACTGTGTGCGCAGTGCAGCCCCCAGAGCACGGGGGAGGAGAGAAGATGGGGTAGCATGCCGAGTGCTCCCCAGCCTCTCTGGAGCACTGGGGAAGAGCAGAGAGGTGAGGGGGTATGCACACAGTGCAGCTCCCAGAGCACGGGGGAGGAGAGGCGGTTGAGGGGTTCCAGCGCCTACACTAAGCATTCTGTGGGTGGAGTGGGGGCAGAGCCAGGCTGGCGATTTGGGAGGGCAGAGCTTTCCCACGTCTAAGCCACGAGACGGCCGTGCCTGCCTCCCACAGTCGTGCAAGGGGAAATATGTAAATATCTATACGAGAGGGCAACGGCGTGGGCTGGGTTTGGGTCGGGCTCCATGCAATGTGCAAGGGCTGATTGCCCAACCTGATCTTGTGGGAATCTTTCCCTTGCTGGCTAGTGTACTTCCCTCCACAAATACAGCCTGGTGACGGGCCACATCAGATCTGTAGACCAACCCTCCTCCTCCACTCTCGCCTGTAAGACTGACCCTTCAGGGCTAGGTGGAGGGGCTGCTTTCTGCCTAGACCTCTCTCCCATGTAGCATAGATTCCACTCTGGCAGTTCTGCGGAGGTGCAGCCAACCAGAAGAGTTGTCAGCTCCCTTTCCCAGCACACGGCTGATGGGATGGAACAGAGAGAAAACCCAAATGTAGGCCAAGGGACCAGACTGGGCTGCGAACAGCCACAGGGTGGATCTGATGAGAGGAGGTATCATGTACACCACTTCACTTCAGGGAATTAAGCCTCAAAAGTCTCCAGGCCTTGAACATCACTGTGACGTGGGGAGAGATTATCATCCCCACTTCATGACAGGGAATGGCTACGTGCCAGGTTCTACCTGAGTTAGGAATGCGATCCATATCTCTGACTCCCATGCCAGGTATCCCCAGCAGGCCGGTACACAGGAATTTTGGGGGAAAGGGGGTTTGCAAGCTGTGTGAGGGGCTGGTGGCTGCCATGCCTCTGTGTCCCCGCACAAACCCCCACCTCACTTTTGGGGGAGGAAGAGGAGAATCATCTCCAGCCTTCACCAGGCTGGCCAGAGCACAGGGGAAGAAGGCTGGGGCAGCTTGCTGCCTCTATTTTCCCCCAGTCGGCTGGAGCACGGGAGAGGGAGGCTGGAGTGGACCATGAAGGATTGCTGCCTCTACTTTCCCCCAGTCGGCTGGAGCACGGGGGAGGGAGGCTGGAGTGGACCATGAAGGACTATGGGGGAGGGGATGCTTTCGCACCCTTTTCACACACTCCTCTCCCCCCGCATATGGGCCTGCCCAGCCCCACCAGCCTTCTCCTCTCATTGTCTAGTTCACAGTCCCACTGGGAGGCATTGTGAGCGGCACCTCTGAAAGTGAAGCCCTGTTATCAGAAGCCCTGCATAAGGCTCCACCTGCCTTGTGTGCACGGCTACCCTGCTGGGTATAGCATGGCCAAAGCACACGGAAATTAGGGGCAGAATTACTCTCCCATTTCAGGAGGCAGTTGCAGGCTTTGGGGCTATAGACAATCAGCACCCGGGTTCTTGATTTCTAAGAAACAAACCCAGGCGAGAATATGGGTCATTCAGAACCCAGCCCTCTGCGTGGTTCAGCTCTGAGCCATTGCCAGCGTCCAAGCTCTGTCCGTCTAACCCATACTACTCTTGTTTTCTCCAGAGACCAGATACGTTTCTCACCCCGTCCAACACTGACATGCTTCCCAACCTGGATCCCAAACTCCTGGCGAAGATTGGGGCAATCAGAGAGTCCTGGGCACAATCTTCCTCTCTCTTACGGCAGGCTTCTGTCAAAGGGGACAAATCACAGTTCACACCTCAGCCCCCGGATGAAGTAAGTTCTCTCCCTTCCTTTTTGGCTCCAATCACCCACATAGGACTTCAGACCGTGGCACAAGGGGCATTGCTGTTTGTTAGTCAATGAGATTTTCTTAGCCCTGTGCTGGATTTGAATGCATCCCTGACCTACTAGTGGTTACTATTCTTTCCCTTAGTCCCTTCAACATCTTCATGAATGACCTGGATGAGGGGATGGGTTGCACCCTTAACAAGTTCGCGGATAACACTGAGCTAGGGGGAGAGGTAGATACGCTGGAGGGCAGAGATAGGGTCCAGAGTGACCTAGACAGATTGGAGGGTCAGGCCAAAAGAAATCTGATGAGGTTCAACAAGGACAAGTGCAGAGTCCTGCCCTTGGGACGGAAGAATCCCAAGCACTGGTACAGCTCAGCAGAAAAGGACCTGGGGATTACAGTGGATGAGAAGTTGGGCCAACAGTGGGCCCTTATTTTGAAGAAGGCTTACGGCACATTGGGCTGCATTTGTAGGAGCATTGCCAGCTGATCAAGGGATGTGATTATTCCTCTTTATTTGTCACTGTTGCCACATCTGGAGTATTGAGTCCAGTTTTGGGCCCCCAATTACAGAAGGGATGTGGTCAAATTGAAGAGAGTCCAGCAGAGGGCAACAAAAATGAGTAGGGGGCTAGGGTACATGCCTTACGAGGAAAGGCTGCGGGAACTGGGCTTGCTTAGTCTGCAGAAGAGAAGAGTGAAGGGGAATTAGATAGCCTTCAGCTCATGCCCTGTATCTGCTGGAATGGGGTGCTTCCCCTCTGCAAAGGCTTGTAGGGATAGCTGCTGGCAGCACAAGTGATTCTGCTGCGTGTGCATTTGTTGGCTTTATTATCTAACTGCGGGGGTTACCGAGAAGGTGCTCTGTGGGCCATACCTGTCAGCTGTGGGATTCTCACTCCTTCCCCTGGCCACTCTCAGGGGATGTCTACACTACAGCGCTAATTCGAACTAACTTAATTCCAATTAGTTAATACGAACTAAGCTAATTCGAATTAGTGCATCTAGACCTAAAAACTAATTCAAATTAGCGTTTTGCTAATTCGAACTAGCATGTCCACACTGAGTGGACCCTGAACCGAAGTTAAGGCTGGCCGGAACCAGTGCCGGCGGGCATCAGGTTAGGAGTTAGAGCGTGGAGCTGCTGCCTCAGGCTAGCTGAGGGCTGTGCTTAAAGGGACCCTTTATTTAACAAAACTGGCGGGGAGGGGTTAACCTCTGGGGAGACTGGGAAAAGGAGGTGGGACAGGGGAAGAGAGAGGGTGGAAGAGGGGAGGGGGAAACCTGGGAGGAGGGAGCTGGAAGGGGGAAGCTGGGGAAGAAGGAGGAGGAGAAGTATCAAACTATGGTACACCATCTCTTCAGTACTGTGTACAGATGTGATCTCCTCACCTCAAAAAAGATATTTTGGCCTTGGAAAGGGTTCAGAAAAGGGCAACTAAAATGATTCGGGGTTTGGAACGGGTCCCATATGAAGAGAGGCTAAAGCGACTGGGACTTTTCAGCTTAGAAAAGAGGAG